AAGTCCTCAATCAATTGGACTTGATATCCTTCAGTCATGTGAACGAACATTTTGCAAATACTAAGATTAAGAAAGTGCGGCACCGCCAATGAAAATTGTCTTTTATCAATATTATGCTTAGTCATAAGATTAAGACGTTTTTTTTATTATGAAAAATCAAAAAAGTATTACTCCCTTTGTTCTCATTTATATTCACCAAATGAATTTCTACTTTATCATTTATATTCACCAAATTTAAAGTGATAATACATTTTATATTGGTGAGAATAATAAATTTTAAAAAGTAATGATGTGATTATAAATTTTATTTACATATGAAACAAATGGTTAGTAGATATAAATGTGGGGTTGTTTTAACAAAATATAAACTCATGGATCAATTATTGTATTAAAATATCTCAAATCATGATATGAAATCACATGGTGATTCCATATCATGGTTTTTGGAGAATATGGTATCACCTCTCATGATATGGAATCATGAGATGAAATCAACGTAAAATCGCATGTCCAAACGCTGATTTCATCTCACGACACCATATCGTGATATGATATCGCATGGGCAAACGCCTACTAAGACTATATCATTTAATTTGAATTAATAGTTTGTTATTTCATACAATTTTTCCTTTACCATTTTCTCAAGCCCAACACTTAAATTTTAGCCCAACTATTACAATCCTAAGTCCAACTCCATCAAAATCATTTACTTTAGTATTTACCTATCCTACCTCACATAAGATAGTCACATTTTCTCTTAATTGAATCACTTTGTTCGTGTAATAATAACTCTAGTATTGCTTAATATAGCTTTCATGTGATTGTTCATGTACTAGATGTTTGTGTCTATCGAGATACGTATATCCTCAAAAAATTTATTACTTTCAAACTGAAAAAATTAGAAAAACTGAACCAAACCGACATTTATTTTTTTCATTTGATTTGGTTTGGTTTTAGAAATTCAAAAAATCGACTAGATTGATTTGGTTTTGATTTACCAATAACTAATTCAAATCGAACCACGAACACCCTTAATTATTTGAAAAGTGCGTTAAACAAATAAAGTAATATATATTGGACCTGGGTTTGCCCGCACTTTTGTATCTAGTATATATGACAATCTTTTAGAGGTATTCTTTTCTTTGTACTACCACAATAATATGTATGGTATGATTCAATTATATTAATATTATTGAGGTATAATACTATATACAGATAGGGATAACATTGTATACAAGACGCTATTTTCATATTTCACTTGTGTGACTATACTGATTATAGGTGTAATTTATTTTCAAAGGTACATTAATATATTTCACACATAGTATAATTCAACATCATAGTAGAAGTATAATGGTATTTTAGGTATAATATTATACATACTTGGTATAATTATTATTTTTAAATATCTATGCAAATTGATTTAAGTTTTTGTGACCTTTTTAATGAAAACCACTTATATATTTTTATGAAAATACCATGTATACATATGATTTAAATATATTTGTGAATGTTTTATGAATAATGAGATATACGGACATAAATAATATGTTAATATCCAAATTTAAAAATTCCAAATAAGCGAATGAAATGAGGAAATATTACATGTACAAAAAAATAGAAAAAAAAAAGACATTAAAAAGGAGAGGAAAAAAAATTAAAAGACAAATATTCTGTCCAAAAAAATAGAAGGAGTGGGATTGATTAATGGGATCCAACAAAAGTTTAGGGATTTTTAATTGAAAGTTAATATTTACTCCCCATGAAATAATAACTAGCTCATACCGCTATTTTTATGCAAATACTTTTTAAATACTGCCAATTAATGTCAATGCTAAGAATTTTTTAGACGATTTTATTTTATTTTTGGTTACTGATCCTCGTATGCTGTAATTCAGTCAAAAACAAAAAATTATTAAAATTTAATTGTCTCAACTTAAAAAATAAGATTTATTCTACTAGTGACGTAAATTAAACCCATCGAAATTTAATCAAACCCAATACCAAACCATTATTAACACTCTTTTTAATTTTAAGAAAGTACTACTCAAAAAATATCTTTAAAGACAATTAATTAACGATAATAACTTAATTTATGCTAAATGTGTATTTCTAGAGCAATTAACACTTTTTGTAAATGTTCTTAAAGACTATATTAGCATTGAATCTTATGACAATTAACTAATGTCGGTAAAGATTTTATCACTCTTTATTAATGCGTATATTTGTTACCGCTAAAAATTATTTTTGCTACCTGGAAAATCGTCTCATTATGGTTTCGTCAGTTTATTCCTTGATTCTTGGAACATTTTGGTGGGAAAAAATCTAGCTAATTATGATATTACATTTATTATATTACCTATCAAAATCTTATATATATTGCAACCATGACATAACAAATTACTCAGAATCAAAAGCACAGTCAATTATGACAAAAAATTTAGTGTTTCTCCTAGTAATAATTGCATATTTGTCAGTATTAAACTTAGCAAATGCTGGAAATTATCTTGGTGATTTGCAGTGCACATTTAATGTTAGGAATTTGAAATGCCTCAAAGATGATGATTGTCTTGATAAATGCCTTGAGCTATATGATAAAAAATTAAATGCTGCTTCTTGTATTGGAGATCCAGGAAATACTGAGCCTAATTGTGTTTGTTGATATAGATGTCATAGAAAGAAGTTTATTTGATTGATATTTATATGTCCATGGAATAATGCTTCGAAATCAGATTGATTTGAAGTTGAAGGTTTGTTCGTATATGCCGTTTAGATATTCAAGTTATATTGTTTTCTCATAAACATGTAACCTTACAAGTTGTGAAAGCTATAAAAATTTCTCCAATTTTTATATATACTCTTACATAATGAGAAAAATGATATTTTTAATCAAGATATCTGAATATTCTTAAGTGTTGCGTTGATAAATCACATATCTTCATGTTTCTTTATAAATAAATATTTGTGACGACAAACTTTCAAATACATAAAATTGTGTTAAGATCCATTAGTTAATAATAGTAGTAACTAGTTGTTCTTTAATTCTTTCACATAGTACGAATTAACAATCTCTCCAAGCCGACCATGAAGTCATTTAATCATGAGATAGATTTATTAATTAAACTAGATTTCATGTTTTTTTAGTATATTGTTTTCATAATACTTCAATATATGTCACTAATTAGTCATTTCTACCACATGGATTAGTATTTAATTAGGTAGAAACTAATGACTTCATATAGAGATTTCACTATCTCCATAATCCATATCAACAATAAAATTAATTAACAATATTCAATGAGAGTAGTTGTTGAAAATAGACCGTTTCAATTATTTAACATTAATGTAATACGAACCAATATTAATTATTAATACGTGACCCTTTGACTCCTTCTTGATTTGTTCAAGATTTAACCAAGGTAATTAAGCTTAACATAGGTACTTAAGAGTATGAACAACCTAACACAATTTCGAAATAAGTTATCTCGCAATTTGATCTCGATCAGAATAAACTTATTATAAAATTACTTATTCATTATTCCTCGTGTCAATCGAGTCGTTAGTATTATTTTTTTTTAAAAAGAAGCTATAATAGACTTTGTGAAGTCAAAAACGAAAATGGCATAAAAATTAAAGAGCAACATTGGACTTTAACCTTTTTTCAAATTCTATTGACTTAGTCCCTTGGATTTGTTCAGATAAAACAACGTGGGAACGTATATGAATTATTTGTGATACTTAAGACCAAAATAACTTTTGATACCTTAAAGTACAAGAATTAATCCCCTTTTCTTCTTTTTCAGAAATTCTTCCCAATGTAAATTAACATAAAAATCAAGATTCTTTCTATATCCAAATGTCAACTTGTGCCATTCTAGAAGCCATTTTTCATTGATATTACCCCCATCAAAGGCAAGAATATATCAATCGTGATCCTAATAAGAAACTTCTTTCTTTCCATATATTTAATACTCCTTCGTCTTAATTTATGCGATATAGTTTGACTTGACACAAAACTTTTTTAATTTGTTTTAAAAAAAATTTGTGGTCTAAAATAAGTTATAGATATAAATCATTTCATTATGAATAAAATTGACATTTAAAAGTTATGTAATTATTCTTTTTGAAACTGACAAAAAAGAAGAACAGTCATATGCATTGAAATAAAAAAAAATTAGTATTTAATTAGCTGATCCAAATTAATATATCCTCGTAAGCAATCATAAAACTTTGTGTTCAAACTTTGATAGCAACTTTTATATTTTAAAAAGGAGATTTCCAAATTCCAATCACTTCCATTATAATGTTAATAATTAATTAATATAAGAATTTGGACTAAGCTAACAAGCTTTAACTTACTCAAATCAGTGTAATACTACTTATAACATATTACATATGCCATCAATTTATTAATTTTGATTTTAATTTTTACCAGCTAATTAAAGATATAATAATCATTCGAAAACAACATTTTTTCGGGCCATACAGGGGTGGGTCTAGAGGATAGCAACTAGCGAACTCTCTCGATAAAAAATTACATAAGGTAAGAAATTGGCTCACGATGATTACAAGGTTCAAAATAATACGTTGTCATTGTTGTTGGATTATGCAATAATTATTGCTTAACTAATGATGATCTTAGCACTCACTTACTATTTATTTTTTATCAATAATCCTGGAAATACCTAGGAAAGAAACTTACAACGGTACAAACTAACAAATTTGAAAAGGACAACGTGGTTAAATTTACCTCATGACTAAATCTGTACCGTTCATCTTGCATGTCCTACAAAAAAAACAAAAGATCGAACGGTTCAGAAACAAAAGAAGACCCAATCTGCTTTGAAAAATACTCTATTATAAAGTCATCCGCTATTTGACCGAAGCTTCGTTTAAGTACCACAAAGGAAGCTTCAAACTATATAACAACAAAATTATCTTTTTAGAAGAGTTCTTATATATATATAGTCTCATATTCCACTCGTCATCACAACACTTACAAACATCAATACTAAAATTCATCTTTCTCTTTCAGTTTGTTTTCTATACTTTTTCCTATACTTTTCGATCTCGATGGAATATGTTGATGAATTTTTCGCTTTAGAGAAAATCAGAACTCATCTTCTCGGAGAATTTTCACCGAAAACATTGAAATTTGGGGCGGAATTAACGAGTAGTAAGTGTAGTGATACTGTGACGGAGAGTTGTAATTCTGAATCTGCTAGTTCTGATTCTCTTCCATTTGATTTTTTCTTCGATATTGAAGCTGATTTCTTTCAATTTGGAACTGGAGTTTCTAATTCGACCTCCGAATCAGCTAATTCGGTGCATAATCGAACAGATTTTGTTAAAATTGAATCGGAGCCGTCGATTTCGAGCTCTGATTATGAGGAGAATCAGAGCAAATGCTTTCAGGTTAAATCGGAACCTCAAGTATTCATCGATCTTACTTCACCGAAATTGAGTAGCGCTAGTGATCGGAAACCTTCACTGAAAATTGATTTACCTCCGGTGAAGAAATATGAATGGATCGATTTTGGTAATTCGGCTCACTCGAATCCGATTGTTTCGGTTCCCGTGAAACAGATAAGGAAAGCTGAAGAGAAGAGGAATTACAGAGGAGTGCGACAGCGGCCATGGGGAAAGTATGCGGCGGAGATCCGAGATCCGAGACGCCGTGGTTCTAGAGTTTGGCTTGGAACATTTGATACAGCAATTGAAGCGGCGAAGGCTTATGATAAAGCTGCATTTACGATGCGAGGAAGTAAAGCGATACTGAATTTTCCTTTGGAGGTAGGGAAGACTCTGTCGTATTCAAGCTCCGCCGTGGAAGGCGGCGTGAAGCGGCGGAGAGATTCGGCGGAAACTGAAGAAGGGAAGGTAGTGAAGAAGTGTAAGGAAGAGGAGTCATGGCCATTAACGCCGTCAAGTTGGAATTTCGTTTTTGAACAGAATTGTAACGGAATGTTTAACCTCCCTCCATTATCACCCTTATCTCCTCACCTTGGCTGTTCGCAGCTAATTCAAATATGAGTGCAATACATGATATTATGAATCTAGTTTAGGATTGTATGTATATGAATGAACTTTTATAAACAAATTACCTACTTGTTTTTACTTCAATACTATCTTTCGTGTCTATTGCTTTTATAAGTATTGAAGATTCATACAACAACGACAACATATTTAGTGTAGTTGTGCAAGATGTTCGAACATTGAACCTTTGAGCTGAATTTGAACATCCTTATCATCTTCCCTCGATGTTTGATATTCGTTTTGAAATTCTAACTCATTCAAATTTGTGTCACGTAAGATATATTAGAGGGAGAACCGTTTCCTATTGTCATTTTTCCCATACCCAAACTGTAAATTAGGTAGGTTGGATTTCCTTCTATAGTTGTTCGATTTTAAAATTCTTTATTTAGGCTAAAATTCATGATTTAATTTCTTATAGCATATATTATTGACATCCTTGGTAAGTTTAATTTCACCTCTAAATGGGAGTCTTGTTTAATATGTTTTCATCTTACTATTTTTAGCTGGAAAGATAGTTCCTGGTAATCGCAAAAAGAAATATCATCCCAATGGACAGTCGAGGATCTCTCATAAATAATCTTTCTACATTCACGAGATAGTGCTAAACTCTGCATACTTTCTACCTTCTTTAGATTTTACTTATGAATTTCACTGGATATATTGTACGTTGTTGTAACAGTGCTACATTACACATACGTAACCAAGTTTATAAGTTTTCATCGAACATTACTTGTGCACAAACCAAAATAATGAACTCGAACAAGTATTGGAATATAGTTTACCCTTAGCTTTTCCCTAAAGTGCAAGCAAACAATGGATTTCTAGAAGTAAAGCAAAAGTATAATGTTCGAGAAATACTCAACAGAGAAGAAATAAAAACGTGTTACGTTTACCGTGTACATCAATAATTACTTGAGGAAACTGCAATTTCAATTTTCAAAGTCAAAAGAGATAAAAATTGCAAAAGTCTATCTATCTAAAAAAAACATTACTAGTACTTCGTATTACTGTACTTATTTTTTATTAATAAGAAGATGTCAACGTGGCAACAAAGAAGAGCAAGTGAAATAGATTGTTTGAACTAATCAGAATTGTGGTGCGGTAATAAGTACTCATTCATCCTTAATCAAGGCTTTGAGTTTGAGTTCTTTTGTGTACGGATGTGCCTTCGTTAGAAAATGCTTTATCTCTCAATGTGAAATTTTCCAACTCAAATCTTCAATATAGATATCGAACAACAAATATAAAAATAATAAAAAAAGAAATCGATCGTTTGACTGCAATTAATGATACTTAGTAATATAAATTCAAAATACTTTGTCAAAATTAAGAACCTCTAAGGCTCTAACCCAAACAAAAAAGATATTTCAAAGTTATTCACATGGTTCTAAAATTCTTTCAATCAAAATACTTTGTCAAAATTAAGAACCTCTAAGGCTCTAACCCAAACAAAAAAGATATTTCAAAGTTATTCACATGGTTCTAAAATTCTTTCAATCAAAATACTTTGTCAAAATTAAGAACCTCTAAGGCTCTAACCCAAACAAAAAAGATATTTCAAAGTTATTCACATGGTTCTAAAATTCTTTCAATCAAAATACTTTGTCAAAATTAAGAACCTCTAAGGCTCTAACCCAAACAAAAAAGATATTTCAAAGTTATTCACATGGTTCTAAAATTCTTTCAATATTGAGTGAGTTTTTCAATTTTAATATTTTACTGGATAAATTTAAAGGACTATACACATTTTCAATTTATAAACATGAAATTGAAAATTCTTCTTATATTTTTTAAACAGTTAAACTAAGACGCTTAAGTTGAGATAAAAGAATTAATAGTAATTTATCTCGCTCTCTCCACTTTTACTTATTGATTATACTAAAACTATATGTCTAATTTAAAAAATTAAAAGATAACTTATCATTTATTTTATAATATATTCTTATTATTAATCATAGTTAATTTTCAATATATATCTCAAAATATTAATTTCATAAAATTATTGTTCTATTTAATGCTTCGAATGCGTCAAAACGGAGGAAGCATAACTTATTACGTTTACTCCAAGAAAGACATGTTTATCAATTTCTTAGGGAGACTGTTGATAAATTCAGAATTTTCATTAAACAATTTAATATTTATTATACATATATAATATAAATTTAATTTTATATCGATAATGTAATTTTCTATCAAAAATATTCGAATGAACACCTCAATTCTTGCTAGCTCGGCCCCTAATTATTATCGGTGGTTATGTTAGCATCTGCATGTTATTTGTCTCTGACTATTTTTGTGCTTTGCTGTTACGTTGAACGAAAGACAACGAAAGGGGTCTCCATGCATGTATTATTTCATTGTTGGTGGTGTCAAATTTTTCCTAATATTTTTTTAATCTCTATTCTATTATATTAATAAAATTTGGGGCCTTTAATTTATTTTGTTGACTTTGGACACATTTATCATGTTGTTTGACTTAAACAAATCACCGGTCTTTTTTTGCTTCCGCCTCCCAATGTTCGAAATCCACATTAGAGTCTTGATTAAATTTGAATTGCACATTGTAGGATCTATTTGAAGGTGGCGCAGAGGCGTATTTAGGATTTTGAGATGATGAATGCATTGTTATAAAAAGGTTGATCTATGATATAAATTTGATCGATTCGACATTTAGGTTTTTACTATTGAAAACCGTTAAAATTTTAAAATTATAGGTCTAAAATTAATATATATATATATATATATATACCAACTACGACTTGGAGAAGTGTTATCTAATTTTAGAAAGAAAAATAAAACAAGATAACTATAAAATTCAAATTTATAACCTTGTGGAGAGAGGTGCACCTAATCATAATCGCATTATGTGATACTTCAAGTGTGGGTTCACACTTCCATATTTCAATATATTTTTTAAAAAATATAACACTATTATATATGATCTCGGGAGGGGACCATGGGTTCACGTGAACCCGGTGACCACCCCCCTAGATACGCCTCTGGACTGGCGCTCCCAACAAGATTTTCTCCATAACCACGGCTCGAACAGGAGACATCTGGTTAAGAGTGAATCAGTCTCATCACTGCACCACAACCCAACATTCAACTCAACTTGACTATTACTAAGTAGTTTTAAGTTGGTGGCTCTCTTTTTTTTCCTTTTTATATCTCTCTCTCTTGTACTTCTTCCGTTTTAGTTTAATTTTTTATGTTTGATTAGATAAGAGTTTAAGAAAATAAATAAATAAATTTTATCGTCGTTTATTTTTGTAATTTATGAAACTTCTAGACCGAATCTAATATTGTCATTAATATATGTATGAGTGCTGCATTACTCCTGAATCTAATATTGTTCCAAAGGACAATTTTTCGACTATATATACTGACACACTTAAAATAATAGAAACAAAAATCTGAGTGATGACCTAAAAAGGGTATTTGCGTATATCAACTATTATAATTGTGGAAATTACACTTGATGAACTTAAAAATAAATAATTTTACAGCTTTGACCATGCTTGCCTCATGAGATAACTGGTAAAAATTTAAAATTGGTTAACGTTAATGTTTTGTACCTAAGGCAAACGGGATCAAAAGTTCAACATTACACCCCTCGAAAGTTATTCATGACTTTGGGCCAAACCAAAATGTGGGCCGCACCATATTAAAGTTTGGGCTGAGTAGGAAAGCTACATATGAACAAAGTTTGGAAGGTTATAGGTCCTTTTCATGATATTTGATTTAAGGAATTACACTCATTAGATAAAGTATTTACCCAAAAAAGGATCCAACCCAATGTAATTATTTTGATTGGACCAAAAACTCAAAATAATTTACGTGATTACACCCTTTGGTTTTATTCATTGAACCACTGCTAATACCATTTGATGGTATATATATATATACTTTAATAGTATCAAGCACTAATGAAACAATCTTTTCATTGAAACATTGTATGTTCCTCCTTGATGTCATCAGATGGTATCAAGCAATAAACTAATTAGTAGTTAAAACAGGGGATACAAAAGTAATGGGGTAGTCACTGATAAATAGATTCTTTTTTGGGGTGAGTATTCTTTTCCCTTTGATTTAATTATTTAACTTTTCTAACTTTTATTTGTTTGTTAGATTATTAGAATGGTCAAAGTAAAGGATGAACAAAACATATTGGATAATCAGATGCTTAACAAAGTTTTAATGTCTCATTATGCTTCTTGCCTCCTTTAAAACAAATTAAGAAGTTGATATGCAACATCTTAACGCATATGGTGTCTTTGTATGGTACTATTCAATAAAGATCGATAAAACAAAAGCTCTCAAGCAATAATTTAATTCCTTGTGCCAATCATATTTTCTAAGAATCCATCATTGGATCCCTCTAAGAATTTCTTGTTACCATTTTATGTGTCTTTTTTCTCCTTATTTTTATTCTCTAGAAATTATCCCCATATATTAATTAAAACTCGAGGCTTGTCTTATAATTTTTCTTTATTTTATTCGTATTAAATCAAGGGAAACTTTCAAAAACACTTCTTCGCTACAGTTTCACTATTACAATTAGCAGCTATACTTTGATTTGCAACACATTTTTATTAGTTGATTTTTTTGAGGGTTTCAGAGAAAAACATATAAATACTAACTGATTTGTATCAAAATGAATACATATTAGGAGGAGGGAGGCGAGCGAGATCGAGAGGGGATAGAGTGGACGAATACATGTTGTATTCGTTGTATGACGAATACAATTGATACATAATACAAATACAGTTGATACAAAGCACACATATAGTTTTTCGTAGGGGTGTACATGACCGGGTTGGTTCGGATTTTTCAAATATCAAATCAAACCATTTGTATATGATTTTTAGATCTATAAACCAAACCAAACCAATAAAATTCGGGTTTTTCAACCTCGGGTTTTTTCGGATTTTTCCGGTAAAGTATTCATACAAACATATAATTTACTTGTACTTCAAATATTTCTTTAGTCCTACCAAACTGCAACTATCTAAGGTGTTTCTTA